TTCACATTCCAATTCTTGATAAACAACGAGGCGATTGACGTGAGAATCGAAGCGGGTACGATCATAATAAATATGTAGTCCAATGCATTTACGTATGCATGCACCACTTGGCCTTGTAGCTCTGGAGGCAGTGAAAAGATGACGGTGACTGATTGCTTCACGGCCCTCACCATTTCGGGAGGGAGAGAACTAGCGTATTGAGCTATCGTCTTGGATAGTTGGTTGTTGAATACTGTACCGGCTATTGCAATCCCTACAGCACTACCCAGAAGTTGGAGGGAGGAGATGAGGGAGGAGGCTTGAGGGATCAAGGAGGGCTCGTCCGCAAACTCAGCCTGGATTGCCATCACTATAAACGATGCTTAGTATTGAATCGATCGAAAGGATAAAGACTTGCTTGACTGTTGGAGAGCGAGGCCGAGACCAGCACCAAGAATGATTTGGTACCCAATCAACCTCGCCGGACTTGTGTGCTCATCGATTGTAAACAACAATCCCGCTCCGACTGCCTCAATGAGTGGGCCCAATACCATCAAGCTCCAGTAATGGCCAGTAATATTGACGAACGCTCCCGATCCAAAACTGGTTATGACAACAGAGAGCATGAAAGGTATAATATCGATGCCGGATTGTGCAGCTGTGCGACCTTTGGCTTGATAGAAGAATGGTAGATAGTATGTGGATGCAAGGAACGAGATTATGAGTAGGAATATGGCAATACAGGCTCCGGCCAATGTTCTACGCTTGAACAAGAAAAGGGGCAACATGGCACGTTCTCCCTTGAAGGATTCCCATCCCAAAAATATAATCAAGAGTGCGCTAAAAACACAAAAGAGCGCAATAAGGACTTTATCATTCCATGGTCTCGTCACACCACCCCACTGCAATGGGAGGAGCACACACGTGATCATGCCTATGGAAATGATGGCACCAATCCAGTCCATAGCGAGCCACTTCTGGATTGATGTCATGTCATTGTATAATCTCGATCCAGTAGATGCGTTTGAGGGAATGAAAAAGATGGCTGCAGCAACGGAGACGGCACCGAAAGGGAGGTTGATATAAAAACACCATCTCCAAGTCACCTTGTCTGTGAATGTGCCCCCAAAAAGAGGCCCAATAACAGAAGCGACTGCCCAAACACCGGAAAATGAGCCGAATAGGAGAGGGCGTTGCTCGAGCTTGGTGATTTGGGAGAGGATGGTAAGAATGGAAACAAATATCCCAGATGAGCCAATGCCTTGGAAAGCTCGACCAAATATAAGGACATTCATAGAAGGTGCGATACCACATATGAGCGAGCCGATCTCGAAGAGAATGATGCAGATAATGTATACCCACTTTGACGGGGTGATAGTGAGGATTTGGCCAAGTGTGAGCATAAGGCTAGCTTGCGTTAGGAAATAGGCAGAGACGACCCAAGTGAGTTCGTCAAGCGCATTGAATTGACTAGCGAGCTTGGGGAGGGCAGTAGAGACGATAGTCTGATCGAGGGCCCTGCAGAACGCGGCACTATCCCAGAGTGAATCTCAGAATGGAGTCGGAAGAATTGAGGATACTCACAGTAAGAACCCGATATGAGCGAGAGCGAGTTTTCTACCTGTGAGGAGGCAGGTTTCATTCTGATTGCTCTGGACGGTGGGGGACTTCTCGGCGTTAGCTTCTTTGGTCATGGCGAGCGGAGCATCCTGGACGGATTTTTGTTCGGAAACTTCAATATCTTGATCAAAGAGATCTACTTTGAGAAGCGGAATACTACCGTGGGTATTGGGTGCTGTCAACTTGGAACCGGACTCTTCGAGCATCGAGAGAAGGGAGAGGGGCGAGAGAGATGCAGCACAAGAAAAGGTCCATAACAGCTATAAATCCATTGTCCTATAGACTGCTATCATCAGTGGGGCGACCTTGACGAGACCGAGATGGGGAACACCCTCTTTCAAGCCGCATTCCAATAGTTCCTTTCTTGCGAGGCGTAGACACTGTGTTGCCCGGGAATACAATCTGAGAATAGGGTACAAGGGCGCTTAAGGACGGTAAATAAAACATCAAAGTTTGTATTGGGATAAACGCCGTATTTACGAAGCATAATTACTGGCAGGCAACCTCTTCTTGGCCCTAATTCCGGAAACTGGGACACCAAATTCTCCAAAAAGTGGTAGTTCCTTCGTGATCTGGTTGGCCCTTGATAAAGTCAGCTGCCGCCACCCTCATTAGCTTCCAATGAACGTGAAACTAGTGGTCGCCTTATTCTACGACCAATCATCACTCAACCATTGCCTGTTTTACGATTTAACCAAAAATCATCGAATTATACCCTTTGGTTACAATGTGGTATACTTAACTGCTAACTGAGACTGAGCCAATTCTTTCCCCAAGGTGGATAGGCACAAAGGACACCCCCGAATACTTCAATTATCAAACACTGATCGTTTCCATCTAGTTTCGTCATTCAACATCATATTGAGGGTGTTTCCTTCGACAAATTCACAAAGCCGATTTTCATTTTATATTCTATGTACTACGAGAGTAGTATGAGGACTGAAAGCTTGTGGGCATTGTAACTAGTTCGCGAAAGAGATGGCGCATGATTGCTTTGGAATGGCATAAAATAGTATATACTTTGGGTGTGTATGAGTTGGGAAGGAAACAGTCACAGT